GGGTGTTGAGCCTGGAGAAGAGAAGGCTCCAGGGAGACCTGAGAGCAGCTTCCAGTGCCTGAAGGGGATCCCGGAAAGCTGGGGAGGGACTTGGGACAAGGGCAGGGAGGGAGAGGACAAGGGAGAATGGTTTTAAATGGAAAGAGGGGAGATTTAGGTCAGACATGAGGAGGGAATTCTTGGGTGTGAGGGTGGTGAGAGCCTGGCCCAGGTTGGGCAGGGAAGCTGTGGCTGCCCCATCCCTGGGGGTGTTGAAGGGCAGGTTGGATGGGGCTTGGAGCAGCCTGGGCTGGTGGGAGGTGTCCCAGCCCATGCAGGGGGGTGGAACTGGATGATTTTCAAGTTCCAAACCATTCCATGATTCTAAGTTCGCAGGTGACACCAAGTTGGGCAGGAGTGTTCATAAAATCATCGGACTGTTCAGGCTGGAAAAGCCCCTCGGGATCACCCAGTGCAACCATCAGCCCTGCTCTACAAAGTTCTCCCCTCACCCATCTCCACACCCAGGGATGTGACTCCCCCACCTCCCTGGGCAGCCTGTCCCAGTCTCCAACCACTCTTGCTGTGAAGACGTTTTCCCTCATGTCCAGTCTGACCCTGCCCTGGTGCAGCTTGAAGCCCTTCCCTCCTGTTCTGTCTCTAATGACCTGTGAGAAGAGACCAGCACCAACCTCTGCAATGACCTTCCAGGTAGTTGGAGAGACTGTTCATCTGCCTGAGGATAAAGATGGCTTTGGAGAAGAACCTGGATGGGCTGGATCAGTGCATGAGGTTCCACAAGGCTCAGTGTCAGGTCACAACAACCCCGGGCACAGATTTAGGGAAGAGTGTCTGAAAAGCTGCCCAGCAGGAAAGGACCTGGGGTCAATAACCAGCTGGCCAAAAATACCACCAGCAGCTTGGCTTGTATCAGCCCTGGTGAGGCTGGACCTCAAATCCTGGAGTCAGTTTTGGTCAGAAAAAGAGGTTCCTGCTTCCACGGGCACAGGCATTCCCCAAAATACAAGTTTTACCCTCAAAAGAAGAGCTCACCTGAAGCTTTTCCCCTTTGCAGCCCCCTCGGGCAGCACTGAGGAGACAGCAAAGCATTTCTTTGGAAAAAAAAACCCAAAACACCCCAGAACTACAAGATTTCTTCTCTTTAGCTCCTCAAAACTGTGCTTGCCTCTCCGAGCTGGCAGCTCGGGGGTCAGGGTAGATAAAAAGGTGGAAAACGGCAAGAAAAAAAAAGCAAAATAGGGTTTTATTCCTTCCCCTTTGCCCCTAGAGCAGGTTCCAAATAACTTGCTCTGACCAGGCACCCTGGTGGGGCCTGCAGAGGAATCAAACAACCCCCAGATCTGCTCCAAAACCTCAGCTAAACGTCAATGCTTGGAAATAGATATAAAAAATAAAAAGGGGTGGTTTGTTGTTTTTTTTTGACTCTTCCAAGGCAATTCCCGAATGAGCAGCAAAGCTCAGTGCCACCTTCTGTCGGCCAGGCTGCACTGCACAGCCCTGGGAATTGGGGCTGGAAAAGCAGGATTGCATCACCCAGCCTGGCTCAAAACCTTGCTTTTCCCTTTGGAAAAAAAACCCTTGAACCAGGAGAGCCCCCAAATCCTTCAACCCACACCCCCTTCCAACCAGCCCAAGGTTTCACACCCCCTCCCTCCCCTCTGGTCATGACAGAATATATTTTATTTATGGATTTTTTTACAAAGAACTTTACAATTCCCGTGACATAAGTTAACGTCCTTGGGTTCAACATGTTGTTACCTCTGACAACACCTGAGTTGTTGGAATACTGAGATGGAACTTGAGCTTCGAACTGGACAAGGGGAAGGGAAAACAGGGATGAAAATAATAATAATAATAATTAATAATAATAATCCATAACCAGCTCGATTTGGGTCTTTCCATTCTCATCCTCCCTTCCCTGATGGCAGGGACCAGCCTGCCTGAGTTGGGGACAAACTCCAGTGGAGGGAGGGTCCCTCTCTGCCCGGGGGTCTTGTTTCTCTGAGGGGTTTCACCCCAAATTTCACTTGCCAAGATCCAAGCTTCAACTTGAAATGAGAAGACAACGGATTCACAATCAGACTGGGGATCCGTACCAGCTCCGAGGAAGCCAAACCTCAATCCTTGCCACGTTTCCAGCTCTTGGGAATCTCCCAGGCACAGTCTTCAAGTGTCTCACCATCCCCGAGGGGACAGACAAGGAGATTTCCTTCCTTTCTCCTCCCAACATGGAGGCTTTTCCATCTGTCTGCGCTGCTGAACTGCTCCTGCCAAGCACCACCAGGCCCTGGCACTGCCAGGGCTGCCCTCCTTCCCTCATGGAATGCTGCCAACCCCACGGTGTTCTCCAAATTCCTCCTTGAGAGAGCAGAATGTGCCCTCTCTGCTCTCTCAAGGAGGAATTTGGAGAACACCGTGGGGGCTGGCAGCTTTCCAGTCAGAGGACTCAGTTTTTCCACACCGAGTCGGCCAAGGAAAAGGCTGCAGGTCTCCCCAGCAAGGAAGGAAAATAAAATCAGAGGAGTTTCCAACCCCTCTCCTCCTGACTACTGAAAAAAAACCAACCCAGCAGCATCCCAAAGGAAGGGTGTAATGACCAGGAGGTGCTGGAGGAGCCCAGCTGGGAGAGACCATGCTGCTTTGGAAGTGGCAGCAGAGGGAAGAGTGAGTCCTGATGGCCAGGAGACACTGCCTGGGATGGAGCTGAGCCTGTTTCTCCTTGAAGGCACCACCAGCAAGGTCCCCATGGCACCTCTGGGTGGTCCTGAGATGACTCCTTGCTCCTCAACCTGCTGATATTGAACCTTGCGGGGTGCAGGACAAAGCCAACCAGCCTCCTGGGAGCCAAGGGGACAATGGCAAAGCCACCGAGAGCAGAGGAGCCAATCCAGAAGGATTCTCCCATCTCAACAGGGAGCCTAAGAGGAACATCATCATCATCCAGCTGGTACTGAAGGCAAACTAGGAACTACAAGGAGGTACCAAACGGGGTTACTGGGTGGTACAGAGCTGAGGTGGTGTCACCCCACCACACACACACGAAGGAAGACACTTGGTGACCAGCCACCCCCAGCACAGCCACCAAAGCCATCAGCACCATCCTTCCCCCATACCCACCAGGGTAAGCTGCCTCCAGCAGCTCCATGGCCACCACCTCACCCTTCATGGGTGCAGGGGAAGGTCTGGGGGAGGGGGTGACCCAGGGGGGGACCCTCAAGCACCACGGGCTGGGTGGGCAACATTATCAATATGATAATAACTCCATTCACCTAGTGAATCTGCAGGGGGGAGCCAGCCCAGAAGCAGAGCTGCAAACGCCTGGAACACCCTTGGGCTATTCCCTAAGGCTGGAAACACACAACCTGAAGAGGTTTCACAGTCTATTTTGTTGGGTTTTGTTAAAAAAATACCAACATTTCCCCCCCC